AGGAGGAGGCCGGAGTTCTCCCCGTGAGCCAGGCCGGGTCCCCAGCATCCTCACACCGTGGCAAGCCACCCCACCTCCGCCGGGAAAGCCTCCCGTTTCCGTGGGTAGTGCCTTGGGGCGTGGAGGTTCGCGTGGCACCGCAGGGTTACAAAATAGAGCTTGCGCGGTGCGCCCCGTGTCGCAGAGCACTTGGCACCCGCTTGACCCTCAGGCTGCCTGGAGGGGAGAGTCCAGGAGACTGTTACCCCCCCCCCCCGGGCATGAGCCCAGGGATCCGGTGCTTACAGCTGGTGGGAAGCCCCGAGGGCCCCCTCCCCTAAAGGTGCCGCTGTGAGGGGGTCAGAGGGCCAGGGGGGGCCAGCGGAGCAAGGAGTGAGGCCGGGGCCTCGAGCCTGGGCACCTGCCCGCCCTCTCCAGCCTGCAGCTGTTGGAGGTTCCACAGGGAGAGCTCTGTTTACCCGTGGCCTAGGTCCCGGCGGGAGGGTGCGTTACCGCCGCGCAGGGCTGCAGGCCCAGTCTCTGTGGCCTTAAAGAACCCTATGCTCAGCTTTTGTGGGAGGCCTTCCCCACCCCGGAAGGAGAGGTGCTGCCCCTCCACCCCTCCTCAGGCCTCACAGCCTCCCCAGTGGGGCTTCCAGAACAGGCTCTTCCGGACTCCCCCTTTGATGCCAATTTGCTCAGTTCTCTTAAGTTTGCTCCTTCAGCTAAGCCCAGTTACTTGTCCCCCCTTTCTGAACGTATACAGCCCAGTCTGCAACCCACAATTTTAATCTGAATATAAAAGCCCACTCCCCCAACCCACCTCATCCAATAAGTGCTTATACTGGAAACAGGTGGGGAAGAGGTTCCCAAGCCAGACAGGCAGGCACCTGAATCTGCCCCCACCTAGGACCCTAGGTCCATCCACCCCCATGTCTCCTGACTCTCCTCCACACGTCACTGTGGTGGTGTCTCTCTTCTACTTTCCATTAAAGTTTATCTGGTCTATTGTGTTTCCTTTCTGCTCTTTATTGTAATACCCTTGTGACTCAGTTTCCTAACACCCTCAGAGAGCACCATGAAACAGGCTGGGTCCAAGAGTCCAGGGTATGTGTAGGGAAACCCAGTCTGGAATCCATGAGCTGGCCACAGGGAGCCTTATTCTGTCTTTGTTTTTTGCCGGTCATGGGGCCTGAACTCTGGGTCTGGGCACTGTCCCTCAGCTCTTCAGCTCAAGGCTAGCGCTCTACCACTGGAGCCACAGCGCCACTTCCGGCTTTTTTCTTTTTGCTTATGTGGTGCTGAGGAATCGAACTCAGGGCCTCATCCTTGCAAGGCAAGCGCTCTACCACTGAGCCACCTTCCCAGTCCTTATTGTCTTTACTGGTGGTTATGAAATATGGATACTGGGTGTGATACCACCTTTCCTCACTGACGACCTGGCATTTTCATAGGTGATGAGACTGATAGCAAATTAAGATTAATAGACTTGGCCTGAGAACCACACAGATATCCAGGTACAGAGAACAAAGAAAGGTTTATTGCCAGGAAAGGGGGCTGGCAAGACTCCTCACAAGGGGAGAATGAGAAGAAGCACCAGCTATTGTCTGGGGTGACCTACATAACCTAGGAGGTCTAGGAGGGGCTAGAAGGGGTTAGGAGGCGGAGACCCTGGTGTGGACGTGTGGGCCAGGGGCTTCATCATGGCAGACTAGGATTTATGGTTGGTGTCCAAACAGCTGCCCAGGCCTGAAGGTCACTCTAAGGGGCTCTTGTTGCCTTCTATGGTGGAAGCTGCCCCAGAGAAGTGCCATCCTGAGGTAAAGGGGGTTGGAGGCTGATTATTTACTACCTTCACTATGTGGGCCGAATGTTGCCTAGGAAGGGAGCGTGCCAAGCTGTGGAGAGGAGAAGGGGAGGACTAAGCTATGGGAAGGGGCTCATTGCTAACAGGGACTTTTCACCCAGTTCTAAAAACTCTAGAGATGATAGAGGCCATCATTTGAACTGGGCTGCTAAGCACTGTGAAGGTGATATACGTCAGTTTGAAGCAGAGGTGCCCTGTGTGGTGAAGCTCCAGGGAATCCTTTTTTTGTTGTTGGTTGTAGGGCTTGAACTCTGGGCCTGGGCGCTGTCCCTCAGCTCTTCAGCTCAAGGCGAGGGCTCTACCACTTGAGCCTCAGCCCACTTCCGGTTTCCTGAGTGGTTTATTGGAGATAAGAGTCTTAAGGACTTTCCCCTGGGGTCTGGCTTTGAACTGCGATCCTCAGATCTCACCTGCTGTGGCTAGGGTGACAGGCTGCGCCTTGCCCCCGGCGGCTCCCCAGGGAATTCTGGCCCCACCTAGCTGGCCTTGTTTCTGTAAACAGGCCTCTGACAGGTTTACGCCCTCCAATCTGTCGAGCGCTCCGGACCCACTGGAGACCAGGGGGACAGCGGCCTGGCCCGGGGCCCTTCCGGACGTCCTCGCCTGTGACCCCGCGGAGGGATCGGGCCAGGCAAAGCCGGGTCTGGGCCGGGAGGTGGTGAAGGGTCACAGGAAGGCCCTGTCCGGGTGGACTCCTCGGGCTGGCCGGCCGGAGGCGGCCAGGCCCCGGTGTCCCGTTACCCGCGGCCCCGAGCGGAAACCCGACCGCGTGGGTGCAGGGAGGCCTCCCTCCTCCCTGTGCCCTCTGCTGGCCACGGGAGCCGGAGAGCACGGGCCCAGCACGGAGCACCGCCGAGCGGGGAGCAGAAGGACGCTGAGGGCCCTGGCACAGGGGTGGCCCGGCCCTGCACCCCAGTCCCGTCGTGACATCGCCTGGGGTGAACCCCTCGGCCCGTCCCGCGGCCGCCTGCACCGTCTGTAGGAGGGCACCGCCCAGC